AATCAGCTGTATAGTAGTTATCGATTGTATATCGTCATTAAGTATATTTCGCTTTAATGGATGTATTTAACTTGATCGCTAAAACGATGATTCGTTGCATATGAATAACGCGCGATTCTGAGTGAACACAATGAGTTAGCCTCTATTTTTAAGGATATTGAATACATTGGATACTATTAATTACTTCCTTAAAAAATTTTATTTTTATTTTTGTATTAGTAGGTATGTTGGAAAAGTGAATTTAGCTAAAACTTAGAATAATTAATATTTGTGTGTCTAGAAAATAATAATAGATGTATACCTACCTAACATAAAGGAATTAAAGTCTTTGTAATTATAATTTTTTGGACCATAACCAATAACTAGTAATTGATTCGGATTCATATGGTTTAGATCAAATACAGTCGTTGAAGAAAATAACGCTTAGCCATATAATTTGCGTTACGTCGGATTTAGAACGTATTCAGACAGATACATTCAGGTTCATTGATCATATGTAAGTACATAGGTCTTACCTATTATTTAATTATTATAGTTTTAAAATGATTCTAATATTCAATTGCATACAATACTTTAGACGAATTATGAKACTTAAGCCCAACTGTGAAACGTACACAATCAACTTAAATGCATGGTGAATGATTCCAAAATAAAGTAAGTAGGTATAACAATATTATTATTTTGCTAATTATATTAAGTACCTACCCTTTAATAAAAGTTATTTCAACCAGAATATTCCGAAATCGTACAAATCATACAGAAAGACTAAGTATAAAATTATGTTTTTAAATACTGATTAATTTTAATTTTTTATTATGTTTATTTGAGAGTTAAGGTCAATGAGGCCACTTTTTTCTAATTTCGTTCCCCAACTTCTATACTTTTAGTTTGAATATTTAAAACATATAAGATTATAAGTGTTGATTATTTGAAATTAAAATTAAAAATCTAAAATGTAGATACTTATAGATCTTAAGAAGATATATTTTTTAACTATTGCTAATGGCCTGTGCTGTCGAGCTGTATTCTAAAGATCAATAAAAAAAAAAGAAGATATATTTACGCTCATGGTTCGTGCTTACTAAGCATATATTTACAAAACCATGATGTATAGAAATTAATTCGTATGAATTTAGAAAATTGCTTTAATACGAGTACATTCAAAACTGCCCGATTACATTTTATAAACCCCAGCAGGACATCAAACTCAACGTGTTGTCTCCGTCTCAAAAACGTACTAAAATGAAAAAAATAAATTTGCGAACCAATTTTGTCTTATTAACTTTAATGTTAGACTATTGTAAAATTCGACGATAAGAATAATAACTACCCAGAGCATATATAATATATTTTATTGATATTTAATTTTTAAGCAAGTTTATGGACATTTTAAAATTGTAATATTTCACACAGTTATATATTAACTTTGAAATTAATACCTAGAATTCATAAAATCCTATGAAATACCATAAATAATATTATAATATTTTTACCTTTAAATTTTAAATTTATAACAACACAAAAATTGTTCCTGCTAAAAGCAAATTCGTTGTAATGTGGGCTTGTATGAAAAAGACAACACGTGCGGGTTTGTTATACTCAGAGGTCAAAATATCTAACATTAATATAAAGTTTTTATGTTTACAGTTTTCCTTGTACCCAGATTTAGGCGATTATATAATTTTAAGACCAGAAAATTGTGGTAATGTTATGTAAACAAGGAAAAACAACAAGGTGGAGACCTGTATAATATATCAAGTATAAGGTTAAAAAATATCTGTTTTTTTTTTTWAAATTCTTAATTTATACTTTTATACAAAGTAAAACGTAAATACTATTGAATATTATGACATTGTATTAAAACTATATATTTATTTTTGTACATTATTTATATTAAATTCAATATAATATACGCTTTATGCTGAAAATAAAACTCTATTTGTATAATATGTTTATAGAATGATATCAGATTTCTATAATGGTTAATATTTAGGGAAATACTATCTGGATATCAAATATAGTTATATCATTACTAAGTAAAATCTTTGTGTTTTAAAGTAATAATTGTCAATACCAGAGCCGGATTAATGAAATTAATGGCCTTGGGGTAATTTATTTTTGGGGCCCTAATTTTACATAAAAGTATTTTTATAATAATATGCCAATTGATATTTATTAGTTAAATAAGAAAAATATTTTTTTTCTCGTAATCTCAGTGCAATTTATACGTTTGAAAAAACTTCAATAAGTTGTCATTTATATAGAAGTTTTGCTATAGCACCACAGTAATCAAAATCTGAAGAAACTGTTTTGATATAATGATAAAAATAGCGGGTAAGTCTTGGATGTCGTTCTGCTGTACAGTAGGTTACAAGCAGTGTTAGGAACAGATAACAAAAAAATCATCTGGATAAAGATAAAGATAACAACACTAAATTTTATCTAAGATACAGATAAAAGATAAACAAATTTAATTCATCTAACAAAAAGATAAAAGATAAAAATATTTTATCCAGATAAATAACAGATAATTATAGAAATTAAAATCAAAACAACTAATTTAAA